AAAATAATATGAAAACAGTAAATAAATTTAATGGAAGAAGATGAAATAGAAAGCAAAACGAAAAAGTAATAAGAGGAAGAAACAAATATGATCAATAACATGTTCATCCCCACCCTAACATACATTATATTAAAATATTTTTCAATAATTTTGTTTTAAAATTGAAACAATTATAAAAAATTATATATATAATGAATTGTTAAAATAATTTATTTTTATAACAATCTTAAACAAATTCTAATATGTTTTTTAAAATACCCTAAATAATTAGAAAAATATTAATAAAATTAAGTGGATGTGCCGGAGTGGTTATCGGGCATGACTAGAAATCATGTGGGTTCTACCGCGCAGGTTCGAATCCTGCCATTCACGTGAAATAAATATTATATATTTTTGTATGCATTTTTTAGTTGTTTAACAAATATTTCTTTAGCTATTTTATTAACAGATATTCTCTTGTGCACAATGCGTCTAACCCCTCATTTCATTAATTGTTTCACAAATAGAGATTCTAATTAGATTCGAGGAGTGTTAATGTACAAAAAGCGCCCAAATAGCTTATAAATTTAATCAATGAAAACTGTAAATGCAAAGAAGTAAAAATAATGAAATGAATATGATAGTCATAAAGTGTGTTCATTCTCCAATCATAAAATTGTTTTATGATCATCATTGATTTCAATGGAATTGTCTTGCGATCAATTACAATCTATTTGAGAATTGTATTCACTCAATTCCTAAATGAATCAATCACTTCAACTTAGAAGTTAAATTGTGATGTAAATGAGACATTCAATCTAATAATCTCAATTATATTGATTATAATGTATAATAATCGTTCATAATCATTAAAAATCAAATCTAAACCATAGAAATCAAGTTTTAATTGATGAATCAACAACAAAAGTGAATTAGAACATAATTAACAATTGCGAAACCAAAAGTAAAATGAAAACTGTAAATAAATTTAATGGAAGAAGATGAAATAGAAAGCAAAACGAAAAAGTAACAAGAGGAAGAAACAAATATGATCAATAACATATTCATCCCCACCCTAACATACATTATATTAAAATATTTTTCAATAATTTTGTTTTAAGATTGATACAATTATAAAAAATTATATATATAATAAATTGATAAAATAATTTATTTTTATAACAATCTTAAACAAATTCTAATATGTTTTTTAAAATACCCTAAATAATTAGAAAAATATTAATAAAATTAAGTGGATGTGCCTGGAGTGGTTATCGGGCATGACTAGAAATCATATGGGTTCTACCCGTGCAGGTTCGAATCCTGCCATTCACGTGAAATAAATATCATATATTTTTGTATGCATTTTTTAGTTGTTTAACAAATATTTCTTTAGCTATTTTATTAACAGATATTCTCTTGTGCACAATGCGTCTAACCCCTCATTTCATTAATTGTTTCACAAATAGATATTCTAATTAGATTGAGGGAGTGTTAATGTACAAAAAGCGCCCAAATAGCTTATAAATTTAATCGATGAAAACTGTAAATGCAAAGAAGTAAAAATAATGAAATGAATATGATAGTCATAAAGTGTGTTCATTCTCCAATCATAAAATTGTTTTATGATCATCATTGATTTCAATGGAATTGTCTTGCGATCAATTACAATCTATTTGAGAATTGTATTCACTCAATTCCTAAATGAATCAATCACTTCAACTTAGAAGTTAAATTGTGATGTAAGTGAGACATTCAATCTAATAATCTCAATTATATTGATTATAATATATAATAATCGCTCAGAATCATTAAAAATCAAATCTAAACTATAGAAATCAAGTTTTAATTGATGAATCAACAACAAAAGTGAATTAGAACATAATTAACAATTGCGAAACCAAAAATAATATGAAAACAGTAAATAAATTTAATGGAAGAAGATGAAATAGAAAGCAAAACAAAAAAGTAATAAGAGGAAGAAACAAATATGATCAATAACATGTTCATCCCCACCCTAACATACATTATATTAAAATATTTTTCAATAATTTTGTTTTTAAATTGATACAATTATAAAAAATTATATATATAATGAATTGTTAAAATAATTTATTTTTATAACAATCTTAAACAAATTCTAATATGTTTTTTAAAATACCCTAAATAATTAGAAAAATATTAATAAAATTAAGTGGATGTGCCGGAGTGGTTATCGGGCATGACTAGAAATCATGTGGGTTCTACCCGCGCAGGTTCGAATCCTGCCATTCACGTGAAATAAATATTATATATTTTTGTATGCATTTTTTAGTTGTTTAACAAATATTTCTTTAGCTATTTTATTAACAGATATTCTATTGTGCACAAAGCGTCTAACCCCTCATTTCATCAATTGTTTCACAAATAGAGATTCTAATTAGATTCAGGGAGTGTTAATGTACAAAAAGCACCCAGATAGCTTATAAATTTAATCAATGAAAACTGTAAATGCAAAGAAGTAAAAATAATGAAATAAATATGATAGTCATAAATTGTGTTAATTCTCCAATCATAAAATTGTTTTATGATCATCATTGATTTCAATGGAATTGTCTTGCGATCAATTACAATCTATTTGAGAATTGTATTCACTCAATTCCTAAATGAATCAATCACTTCAACTTAGAAGTTAAATTGTGATGTAAATGAGACATTCAATCTAATAATCTCAATTATATTCATTATAATATATAATAATCGCTCAGAATCATTAAAAATCAAATCTAAACCATAAAAATCAAGTTTTAATTGATGAATCAACAACAAAAGTGAATTAGAACATAATTAACAATTGCGAAACCAAAAATAATATGAAAACAGTAAATAAATTTAATGGAAGAAGATGAAATAGAAAGCAAAACGAAAAAGTAATAAGAGGAAGAAACAAATATGATCAATAACATGTTCATCCCCACCCTAACATACATTATATTAAAATATTTTTCAATAATTTTGTTTTAAAATTGAAACAATTATAAAAAATTATATATATAATGAATTGTTAAAATAATTTATTTTTATAACAATCTTAAACAAATTCTAATATGTTTTTTAAAATACCCTAAATAATTAGAAAAATATTAATAAAATTAAGTGGATGTGCCTAGGAGTGGTTATCGGGCATGACTAGAAATCATGTGGGTTCTACCTGCGCAGGTTCGAATCCTGCCATTCACGTGAAATAAATATTATATATTTTTGTATGCATTTTTTAGTTGTTTAACAAATATTTCTTTAGCTATTTTATTAACAGATATTCTCTTGTGCACAATGCGTCTAACCCCTCATTTCATTAATTGTTTCACAAATAGAGATTCTAATTAGATTCAGGGAGTGTTAATGTACAAAAAGCGCCCAAATAGCTTATAAATTTAATCAATGAAAACTGTAAATGCAAAGAAGTAAAAATAATGAAATGAATATGATAGTCATAAAGTGTGTTCATTCTCCAATCATAAAATTGTTTTATGATCATCATTGATTTCAATGGAATTGTCCTGCGATCAATTACAATCTATTTGAGAATTGTATTCACTCAATTCCTAAATGAATCAATCACTTCAACTTAGAAGTTAAATTGTGATGTAAATGAGACATTCAATCTAATAATCTCAATTATATTGATTATAATGTATAATAATCGTTCATAATCATTAAAAATCAAATCTAAACCATAGAAATCAAGTTTTAATTGATGAATCAACAACAAAAGTGAATTAGAACATAATTAACAATTGCGAAACCAAAAGTAAAATGAAAACTGTAAATAAATTTAATGGAAGAAGATGAAATAGAAAGCAAAACGAAAAAGTAACAAGAGGAAGAAACAAATATGATCAATAACATATTCATCCCCACCCTAACATACATTATATTAAAATATTTTTCAATAATTTTGTTTTAAGATTGATACAATTATAAAAAATTATATATATAATAAATTGATAAAATAATTTATTTTTATAACAATCTTAAACAAATTCTAATATGTTTTTTAAAATACCCTAAATAATTAGAAAAATATTAATAAAATTAAGTGGATGTGCTTAGGAGTGGTTATCGGGCATGACTAGAAATCATATGGGTTCTACCCGCGTAGGTTCGAATCCTGCCATTCACGTGAAATAAATATTATATATTTTTGTATGCATTTTTTAGTTGTTTAACAAATATTTCTTTAGCTATTTTATTAACGAGATATTCTCTTGTGCACAATGCGTCTAACCCCTCATTTCATTAATTGTTTCACAAATAGATATTCTAATTAGATTGAGGGAGTGTTAATGTACAAAAAGCGCCCAAATAGCTTATAAATTTAATCGATGAAAACTGTAAATGCAAAGAAGTAAAAATAATGAAATGAATATGATAGTCATAAAGTGTGTTCATTCTCCAATCATAAAATTGTTTTATGATCATCATTGATTTCAATGGAATTGTCTTGCGATCAATTACAATCTATTTGAGATTTGTATTCACTCAATTCCTAAATGAATCAATCACTTCTACTTAGAAGTTAAATTGTGATGTAAATGAGACATTCAATCTAATAATCTCAATTATATTGATTATAATGTATAATATCGCTCAGAATCATTAAAAATCAAATCTAAACCATAGAAATCAAGTTTTAATTGATGAATCAACAACAAAAGTGAATTAGAAAATAATTAACAATTGCGAAACCAAAAATAATATGAAAACAGTAAATAAATTTAATGGAAGAAGATGAAATAGAAAGCAAAACGAAAAAGTAACAAGAGGAAGAAACAAATATGATCAATAACATGTTCATTCCCAACCTAACATATATTATATTAAAATATTTTTCAATAATTTTGTTTTAAAATTGATACGATTATAAAAAATTACATATATAATGAATTGCTAAAATAATTTATTTTTATAACAATCTTAAACAAATTCTAATATGTTTTTTAAAATACCCTAAACAATTAGCAAAATATTAATAAAATTAAGTGGATGTGCCTAGAGTGGTTATCGGGCATGACTAGAAATCATGTGGGTTCTACCACGCAGGGTTCGAATCCCGCCATTCACGTGAAATAAATATTATATATTTTTTATGCATTTTTTAGTTGTTTAACTAATATTTCTTTAGCTATTTTATTAACAGATATTCTATTGTGCACAAAGCGTCTAACCCCTCATTTCATCAATTGTTTCATAAATAGAGATTCTAATTAGAGTCAGGGAGTGTTAATGTACAAAAAGTGCCCAGATAGCTTATAAATTTAATCAATGAAAATTGTAAATGCAAAGAAGTAAAAATAATGAAATAAATATGATAGTCATAAATTGTGTTAATTCTCCAACAATAAAATTGTTTTACAATCATCATTGATTTCAATGGAATTGTCTTGCGATCAATTACAATATATTTGAGATTTGTATTCACTCAATTCCTAAATGAATCAATCACTTCAAATTAGAAGTTAAATTGTGATGTAAATGAGACATTCAATCTAGTAATCTCAATTATATTGATTATAATGCATAATAATCGCTCAGAATCATTTTAAATCAAATCTAAACCATAGAAATCAAGTTTTAATTGATGAATCAACAACAAAAGTGAATTAGAACATAATTAACAATTGCGAAACCAAAAGTAATATGAAAACAGTAAATAAATTTAATGGAAGAAGATGAAATAGAAAGCAAAACAAAAAAGTAACAAGAGGAAGAAACAAATATGATCAATAACATGTTCATCCCCACCCTAACATACATTATATTAAAATATTTTTCAATAATTTTGTTTTAAAATTGATACGATTATAAAAAATTATATATATAATGAATTGTTAAAATAATTTATTTTTATAACAATCTTAAACAAATTCTAATGTTTTTAAAAATACTCTAAACAATTAGCAAAATATTAATAAAATGAAGTGGATGTGCCAAAGTGGTTATCTAGTATAACTAGAAATCATGTGGGTTCTGCACTGCGAGGTTCGAATCCTGCCACTCAAGTGAAATAAATATTATAAATTTTTTATGCATTTTTTAGTTGTGTTAACAAATATTTCTTTAGCTATTTTATTAACAGATATTCTATTGTTAACAAAGCGTCTAATCCCTCATTTCATCAATTGTTTCACAAATAGAGATTCTAAATAAATTCACGGAGTGTTAATGTACGAAAAGCGCTCAGATAGCTTATAAATTTAATCAATGAAAACTATAAATGCAAAGAAGTAAAAATAATGAAATGAATATGATAGTCATAAATTGTGTTAAATCTCCAATCATAAAATTGTTTTATGATCATCATTGATTTCAATGGAATTGTCTTGCGATCAATTACAATCTATTTGAGATTTGTATTCACTCAATTCCTAAATGAATCAATAACTTCAACTTAGAAGTTAAATTGTGATGTAAATGAGACATTCAATCTAATAATCTCAATTATATTGATTATAATGTATAATAATCGCTCAGAATCATTAAAAATCAAATCTAAACCATAGAAATCAAGTTTTAATTGATGAATCAACAACAAAAGTGAATTAGAACATAATTAACAATTGCGAAACCAAAAGTATAATATGAAAACTGTAAATAAATTTAATGGAAGAAGATGAAATAGAAAGCAAAACGAAAAAGTAACAAGAGGAAGAAACAAATATGATCAATAACATATTCATCCCCACCCTAACATACATTATATTAAAATATTTTTCAATAATTTTGTTCTAAAATTGATACGATTATAAAAAATTATATATATAATGAATTGTTAAAATAATTTATTTTTATAACAATCTTAATCAAATTCTAATATGTTTTTTAAAATACCCTAAACAATTAGCAAAATATTAATAAAATTAAGTGGATGTGCCGGAGTGGTTATCGGGCATGACTAGAAATCATATGGGTTCTACCCGCGTAGGTTCGAATCCTCGCCATTCACGTGAAATAAATATTATATATTTTTGTATGCATTTTTTAGTTGTTTAACAAATATTTCTTTAGCTATTTTATTAACAGATATTCTCTTGTGCACAATGCGTCTAACCCCTCATTTCATCAATTGTTTCACAAATAGATATTCTAATCAGATTGAGGGAGTGTTAATGTACAAAAAGCGCCCAAATAGCTTATAAATTTAATCAATGAAAACTGTAAATGCAAAGAAGTAAAAATAATGAAATGAATATGATAGTCATAAAGTGTGTTCATTCTCCAATCATAAAATTGTTTTATGATCATCATTGATTTCAATGGAATTGTCTTGCGATCAATTACAATCTATTTGAGAATTGTATTCACTCAATTCCTAAATGAATCAATCACTTCAACTTAGAAGTTAAATTGTGATGTAAATGAGACATTCAATCTAATAATCTCAATTATATTGATTATAATATATAATAATCGCTCAGAATCATTAAAAATCAAATCTAAACCATAGAAATCAAGTTTTAATTGATGAATCAACAACAAAAGTGAATTAGAACATAATTAACAATTGCGAAACCAAAAATAATATGAAAACAGTAAATAAATTTAATGGAAGAAGATGAAATAGAAAGCAAAACAAAAAAGTAATAAGAGGAAGAAACAAATATGATCAATAACATGTTCATCCCCACCCTAACATACATTATATTAAAATATTTTTCAATAATTTTGTTTTAAAATTGATACAATTATAAAAAATTATATATATAATGAATTGTTAAAATAATTTATTTTTATAACAATCTTAAACAAATTCTAATATGTTTTTTAAAATACCCTAAATAATTAGAAAAATATTAATAAAATTAAGTGGATGTGCTTAGGAGTGGTTATCGGGCATGACTAGAAATCATGTGGGTTCTACCTGCGAGGTTCGAATCACGTGAAATAAATATTATATATTTTTGTATGCATTTTTTAGTTGTTTAACAAATATTTCTTTAGCTATTTTATTAACAGATATTCTCTTGTGCACAATGCGTCTAACCCCTCATTTCATTAATTGTTTCACAAATAGAGATTCTAATTAGATTCAGGGAGTGTTAATGTACAAAAAGCGCCCAAATAGCTTATAAATTTAATCAATGAAAACTGTAAATGCAAAGAAGTAAAAATAATGAAATGAATATGATAGTCATAAAGTGTGTTCATTCTCCAATCATAAAATTGTTTTATGATCATCATTGATTTCAATGGAATTGTCCTGCGATCAATTACAATCTATTTGAGAATTGTATTCACTCAATTCCTAAATGAATCAATCACTTCAACTTAGAAGTTAAATTGTGATGTAAATGAGACATTCAATCTAATAATCTCAATTATATTGATTATAATATATAATAATCGCTCAGAATCATTAAAAATCAAATCTAAACCATAGAAATCAAGTTTTAATTGATGAATCAACAACAAAAGTGAATTAGAACATAATTAACAATTGCGAAACCAAAAATAATATGAAAACAGTAAATAAATTTAATGGAAGAAGATGAAATAGAAAGCAAAACGAAAAAGTAACAAGAGGAAGAAACAAATATGATCAATAACATGTTCATTCCCACCCTAACATATATTATATTAAAATATTTTTCAATAATTTTGTTTTAAAATTGATACGATTATAAAAAATTATATATATAATGAATTGCTAAAATAATTTATTTTTATAACAATTTTAAACAAATTCTAATATGTTTTTTAAAATACCCTAAACAATTAGCAAAATATTAATAAAATTAAGTGGATGTGCTAGGAGTGGTTATCGGGAATGACTAGAAATCATGTGGGTTTGGCCTGCGAGTTCGAATCACTGCCATTCACGTGAAATAAATATTATATATTTATTATGCATTTTTTGTTGTTTAACAAATATTTCTTTAGCTATTTTATTAACGAGATATTCTATCGTGCACAAAGCGTCTAACCCCTCATTTCATTAATTGTTTCACAAATAGAGATTCTAATTAGATTCAGGGAGTGTTAATGTACAAAAATCGCCCAGATAGCTTATAAATTTAATCAATGAAAACTGTAAATGCAAAGAAGTAAAAATAATGAAATGAATATGATAGTTATAAATTGTGTTCATTCTCCAATCATAAAATTGTTTTATGATCATCATTGATTTCAATGGAATTGTCTTGCGATCAATTACAATCTATTTGAGATTTGTATTCACTCAATTCCTAAATGAATCAATCACTTCAACTTAGAAGTTAAATTGTGATGTAAATGAGACATTCAATCTAATAATCTCAATTATATTGATTATAATGTATAATATCGCTCAGAATCATTAAAAATCAAATCTAAACCATAGAAATCAAGTTTTAATTGATGAATCAACAACAAAAGTGAATTAGAAAATAATTAACAATTGCGAAACCAAAAATAATATGAAAACGAGTAAATAAATTTAATGGAAGAAGATGAAATAGAAAGCAAAACGAAAAAGTAACAAGAGGAAGAAACAAATATGATCAATAACATGTTCATTCCCAACCTAACATATATTATATTAAAATATTTTTCAATAATTTTGTTTTAAAATTGATACGATTATAAAAAATTATATATATAATGAATTGCTAAAATAATTTATTTTTATAACAATCTTAAACAAATTCTAATATGTTTTTTAAAATACCCTAAACAATTAGCAAAATATTAATAAAATTAAGTGGATGTGCTTAGGAGTGGTTATCGGGCATGACTAGAAATCATGTGGGTTCTACCTGCGCAGGTTCGAATCACTGCCATTCACGTGAAATAAATATTATATATTTTTTATGCATTTTTTAGTTGTTTAACTAATATTTCTTTAGCTATTTTATTAACGAGATATTCTATTGTGCACAAAGCGTCTAACCCCTCATTTCATCAATTGTTTCATAAATAGAGATTCTAATTAGAGTCGGGGAGTGTTAATGTACAAAAAGTGCCCGAGATAGCTTATAAATTTAATCAATGAAAATTGTAAATGCAAAGAAGTAAAAATAATGAAATAAATATGATAGTCATAAATTGTGTTAATTCTCCAACAATAAAATTGTTTTACAATCATCATTGATTTCAATGGAATTGTCTTGCGATCAATTACAATATATTTGAGATTTGTATTCACTCAATTCCTAAATGAATCAATCACTTCAAATTAGAAGTTAAATTGTGATGTAAATGAGACATTCAATCTAGTAATCTCAATTATATTGATTATAATGCATAATAATCGCTCAGAATCATTTTAAATCAAATCTAAACCATAGAAATCAAGTTTTAATTGATGAATCAACAACAAAAGTGAATTAGAACATAATTAACAATTGCGAAACCAAAAGTAATATGAAAACAGTAAATAAATTTAATGGAAGAAGATGAAATAGAAAGCAAAACAAAAAAGTAACAAGAGGAAGAAAGAAATATGATCAATAACATGTTCATCCCCACCCTAACATACATTATATTAAAATATTTTTCAATAATTTTGTTTTAAAATTGATACGATTATAAAAAATTATATATATAATGAATTGTTAAAATAATTTATTTTTATAACAATCTTAAACAAATTCTAATGTTTTTAAAAATACTCTAAACAATTAGCAAAATATTAATAAAATGAAGTGGATGTGCCAAAGTGGTTATCTAGTATAACTAGAAATCATGTGGGTTCTGCCTGCGCAGGTTCGAATCCTGCCACTCAAGTGAAATAAATATTATAAATTTTTTATGCATTTTTTAGTTGTGTTAACAAATATTTCTTTAGCTATTTTATTAACATATATTCTATTGTTCACAAAGCGTCTAATCCCTCATTTCATCAATTGTTTCACAAATAGAGATTCTAAATAAATTCGAGGAGTGTTAATGTACGAAAAGCGCTCGAGATAGCTTATAAATTTAATCAATGAAAACTATAAATGCAAAGAAGTAAAAATAATGAAATGAATATGATAGTCATAAATTGTGTTAAATCTCCAATCATAAAATTGTTTTATGATCATCATTGATTTCAATGGAATTGTCTTGCGATCAATTACAATCTATTTGAGATTTGTATTCACTCAATTCCTAAATGAATCAATAACTTCAACTTAGAAGTTAAATTGTGATGTAAATGAGACATTCAATCTAATAATCTCAATTATATTGATTATAATGTATAATAATCGCTCAGAATCATTAAAAATCAAATCTAAACCATAGAAATCAAGTTTTAATTGATGAATCAACAACAAAAGTGAATTAGAACATAATTAACAATTGCGAAACCAAAAGTATAATATGAAAACTGTAAATAAATTTAATGGAAGAAGATGAAATAGAAAGCAAAACGAAAAAGTAACAAGAGGAAGAAACAAATATGATCAATAACATATTCATCCCCACCCTAACATACATTATATTAAAATATTTTTCAATAATTTTGTTTTAAAATTGATACGATTATAAAAAATTATATATATAATGAATTGTTAAAATAATTTATTTTTATAACAATCTTAATCAAATTCTAATATGTTTTTTAAAATACCCTAAACAATTAGCAAAATATTAATAAAATTAAGTGGATGTGCCTGGAGTGGTTATCGGGCATGACTAGAAATCATATGGGTTCTACCGCGTAGGTTCGAATCCCGCCATTCACGTGAAATAAATATTATATATTTTTGTATGCATTTTTTAGTTGTTTAACAAATATTTCTTTAGCTATTTTATTAACAGATATTCTCTTGTGCACAATGCGTCTAACCCCTCATTTCATTAATTGTTTCACAAATAGATATTCTAATCAGATTGAGGGAGTGTTAATGTACAAAAAGCACCCAGATAGCTTATAAATTTAATCAATGAAAACTGTAAATGCAAAGAAGTAAAAATAAGGAAATGAATATGATAGTCATAAAGTGTGTTCATTCTCCAATCGTAAAATTGTTTTATGATCATCATTGATTTCAATGGAATTGTCCTGCGATCAATTACAATCTATTTGAGAATTGTATTCACTCAATTCCTAAATGAATCAATCACTTCAACTTAGAAGTTAAATTGTGATGTAAATGAGACATTCAATCTAATAATCTCAATTATATTGATTATAATATATAATAATCGCTCGAGAATCATTAAAAATCAAATCTAAACCATAGAAATCAAGTTTTAATTGATGAATCAACAACAAAAGTGAATTAGAACATAATTAACAATTGCGAAACCAAAAATAATATGAAAACAGTAAATAAATTTAATGGAAGAAGATGAAATAGAAAGCAAAACGAAAAAGTAACAAGAGGAAGAAACAAATATGATCAATAACATGTTCATTCCCACCCTAACATATATTATATTAAAATATTTTTCAATAATTTTGTTTTAAAATTGATACGATTATAAAAAATTATATATATAATGAATTGCTAAAATAATTTATTTTTATAACAATTTTAAACAAATTCTAATATGTTTTTTAAAATACCCTAAAAAATTAGCAAAATATTAATAAAATTAAGTGGATGTGCCTAGGAGTGGTTATCGGGAATGACTAGAAATCATGTGGGTTTTGCCTGCGCAGGTTCGAATCCTGCCATTCACGTGAAATAAATATTATATATTTATTATGCATTTTTTAGTTGTTTAACAAATATTTCTTTAGCTATTTTATTAACGAGATATTCTATTGTGCACAAAGCGTCTAACCCCTCATTTCATCAATTGTTTCACAAATAGAGATTCTAATTAGATTCGAGGAGTGTTAATGTACAAAAAGCACCCGAGATAGCTTATAAATTTAATCAATGAAAACTGTAAATGCAAAGAAGTAAAAATAATGAAATAAATATGATAGTCATAAATTGTGTTAATTCTCCAATCATAAAATTGTTTTATGATCATCATTGATTTCAATGGAATTGTCTTGCGATCAATTACAATCTATTTGAGAATTGTATTCACTCAATTCCTAAATGAATCAATCACTTCAACTTAGAAGTTAAATTGTGAGGTAAATGAGACATTCAATCTAATAATCTCAATTATATTGATTATAATATATAATAATCGCTTAGAATCATTAAAAATCAAATCTAAACCATAGAAATCAAGTTTTAATTGATGAATCAACAACAAAAGTGAATTAGAACATAATTAACAATTGCGAAACCAAAAATAATATGAAAACAGTAAATAAATTTAATGGAAGAGGATGAAATAGAAAGCAAAACAAAAAAGTAATAAGAGGAAGAAACAAATATGATCAATAACATGTTCATCCCCACCCTAACATACATTATATTAAAATATTTTTCAATAATTTTGTTTTAAAATTGATACAATTATAAAAAATTATATATATAATGAATTGTTAAAATAATTTATTTTTATAACAATCTTAAACAAATTCTAATATGTTTTTTAAAATACCCTAAATAATTAGAAAAATATTAATAAAATTAAGTGGATGTGCCTAGGAGTGGTTATCGGGCATGACTAGAAATCATGTGGGTTCTACCGCGCAGGTTCGAATCCCGCCATTCACGTGAAATAAATATTATATATTTTTGTATGCATTTTTTAGTTGTTTAACAAATATTTCTTTAGCTATTTTATTAACAGATATTCTCTTGTGCACAATGCGTCTAACCCCTCATTTCATTAATTGTTTCACAAATAGAGATTCTAATTAGATTCAGGGAGTGTTAATGTACAAAAAGCGCCCAAATAGCTTATAAATTTAATCAATGAAAACTGTAAATGCAAAGAAGTAAAAATAATGAAATGAATATGATAGTCATAAAGTGTGTTCATTCTCCAATCATAAAATTGTTTTATGATCATCATTGATTTCAATGGAATTGTCCTGCGATCAATTACAATCTATTTGAGAATTGTATTCACTCAATTCCTAAATGAATCAATCACTTCAACTTAGAAGTTAAATTGTGATGTAAATGAGACATTCAATCTAATAATCTCAATTATATTGATTATAATATATAATAATCGCTCAGAATCATTAAAAATCAAATCTAAACCATAGAAATCAAGTTTTAATTGATGAATCAACAACAAAAGTGAATTAGAACATAATTAACAATTGCGAAACCAAAAATAATATGAAAACAGTAAATAAATTTAATGGAAGAAGATGAAATAGAAAGAAAAACGAAAAAGTAACAAGAGGAAGAAACAAATATGATCAATAACATGTTCATTCCCACCCTAACATATATTATATTAAAATATTTTTCAATAATTTTGTTTTAAAATTGAGACGATTATAAAAAATTATATATATAATGAATTGCTAAAATAATTTATTTTTATAACAATTTTAAACAAATTCTAATATGTTTTTTAAAATACCCTAAACAATTAGCAAAATATTAATAAAATTAAGTGGATGTGCTCGGAGTGGTTATCGGGAATGACTAGAAATCATGTGGGTTTTGCCGCGCAGGTTCGAATCCTGCCATTCACGTGAAATAAAATATTATATATTTATTATGCATTTTTTGTTGTTTAACAAATATTTCTTTAGCTATTTTATTAACAGATATTCTATCGTGCACAAAGCGTCTAACCCCTCATTTCATTAATTGTTTCACAAATAGAGATTCTAATTAGATTCGGGGAGTGTTAATGTACAAAAATCGCCCAGATAGCTTATAAATTTAATCAATGAAAACTGTAAATGCAAAGAAGTAAAAATAATGAAATGAATATGATAGTTATAAATTGTGTTCATTCTCCAATCATAAAATTGTTTTATGATCATCATTGATTTCAATGGAATTGTCTTGCGATCAATTACAATCTATTTGAGATTTGTATTCACTCAATTCCTAAATGAATCAATCACTTCAACTTAGAAGTTAAATTGTGATGTAAATGAGACATTCAATCTAATAATCTCAATTATATTGATTATAATGTATAATATCGCTCAGAATCATTAAAAATCAAATCTAAACCATAGAAATCAAGTTTTAATTGATGAATCAACAACAAAAGTGAATTAGAAAATAATTAACAATTGCGAAACCAAAAATAATATGAAAACAGTAAATAAATTTAATGGAAGAAGATGAAATAGAAAGCAAAACGAAAAAGTAACAAGAGGAAGAAACAAATATGATCAATAACATGTTCATTCCCAACCTAACATATATTATATTAAAATATTTTTCAATAATTTTGTTTTAAAATTGATACGATTATAAAAAATTATATATATAATGAATTGCTAAAATAATTTATTTTTATAACAATCTTAAACAAATTCTAATATGTTTTTTAAAATACCCTAAACAATTAGCAAAATATTAATAAAATTAAGTGGATGTGCTTAGGAGTGGTTATCGGGCATGACTAGAAATCATGTGGGTTCTACCGCGCAGGTTCGAATCCCGCCATTCACGTGAAATAAATATTATATATTTTTTATGCATTTTTTAGTTGTTTAACTAATATTTCTTTAGCTATTTTATTAACAGATATTCTATTGTGCACAAAGCGTCTAACCCCTCATTTCATCAATTGTTTCATAAATAGAGATTCTAATTAGAGTCGGGGAGTGTTAATGTACAAAAAGTGCCCGAGATAGCTTATAAATTTAATCAATGAAAATTGTAAATGCAAAGAAGTAAAAATAATGAAATAAATATGATAGTCATAAATTGTGTTAATTCTCCAACAATAAAATTGTTTTACAATCATCATTGATTTCAATGGAATTGTCTTGCGATCAATTACAATATATTTGAGATTTGTATTCACTCAATTCCTAAATGAATCAATCACTTCAAATTAGAAGTTAAATTGTGATGTAAATGAGACATTCAATCTAGTAATCTCAATTATATTGATTATAATGCATAATAATCGCTCAGAATCATTTTAAATCAAATCTAAACCATAGAAATCAAGTTTTAATTGATGAATCAACAACAAAAGTGAATTAGAACATAATTAACAATTGCGAAACCAAAAGTAATATGAAAACAGTAAATAAATTTAATGGAAGAAGATGAAATAGAAAGCAAAACAAAAAAGTAACAAGAGGAAGAAACAAATATGATCAATAACATGTTCATCCCCACCCTAACATACATTATATTAAAATATTTTTCAATAATTTTGTTTTAAAATTGATACGATTATAAAAAATTATATATATAATGAATTGTTAAAATAATTTATTTTTATAACAATCTTAAACAAATTCTAATGTTTTTAAAAATACTCTAAACAATTAGCAAAATATTAATAAAATGAAGTGGATGTGCCAAAGTGGTTATCTAGTATAACTAGAAATCATGTGGGTTACTGCCTAGCGAGGTTCGAATCCCGCCACTCAAGTGAAATAAATATTATAAATTTTTTATGCATTTTTTAGTTGTGTTAACAAATATTTCTTTAGCTATTTTATTAACAGATATTCTATTGTTCACAAAGCGTCTAATCCCTCATTTCATCAATTGTTTCACAAATAGAGATTCTAAATAAATTCAGGGAGTGTTAATGTACGAAAAGCGCTCGAGATAGCTTATAAATTTAATCAATGAAAACTATAAATGCAAAGAAGTAAAAATAATGAAATGAATATGATAGTCATAAATTGTGTTAAATCTCCAATCATAAAATTGTTTTATGATCATCATTGATTTCAATGGAATTGTCTTGCGATCAATTACAATCTATTTGAGATTTGTATTCACTCAATTCCTAAATGAATCAATAACTTCAACTTAGAAGTTAAATTGTGATGTAAATGAGACATTCAATCTAATAATCTCAATTATATTGATTATAATGTATAATAATCGCTCGAGAATCATTAAAAATCAAATCTAAACCATAGAAATCAAGTTTTAATTGATGAATCAACAACAAAAGTGAATTAGAACATAATTAACAATTGCGAAACCAAAAGTATAATATGAAAACTGTAAATAAATTTAATGGAAGAAGATGAAATAGAAAGCAAAACGAAAAAGTAACAAGAGGAAGAAACAAATATGATCAATAACATATTCATCCCCACCCTAACATACATTATATTAAAATATTTTTCAATAATTTTGTTTTAAAATTGATACGATTATAAAAAATTATATATATAATGAATTGTTAAAATAATTTATTTTTATAACAATCTTAATCAACTTCTAATATGTTTTTTAAAATACCCTAAACAATTAGCAAAATATTAATAAAATTAAGTGGATGTGCTTGGAGTGGTTATCGGGCATGACTAGAAATCATATGGGTTCTACCCGCGTAGGTTCGAATCCTGCCATTCACGTGAAATAAATATTATATATTTTTGTATGCATTTTTTAGTTGTTTAACAAATATTTCTTTAGCTATTTTATTAACAGATATTCTCTTGTGCACAATGCGTCTAACCCCTCATTTCATTAATTGTTTCACAAATAGATATTCTAATCAGATTGAGGGAGTGTTAATGTACAAAAAGCACCCAGATAGCTTATAAATTTAATCAATGAAAACTGTAAATGCAAAGAAGTAAAAATAAGGAAATGAATATGATAGTCATAAAGTGTGTTCATTCTCCAATCGTAAAATTGTTTTATGATCATCATTGATTTCAATGGAATTGTCCTGCGATCAATTACAATCTATTTGAGAATTGTATTCACTCAATTCCTAAATGAATCAATCACTTCAACTTAGAAGTTAAATTGTGATGTAAATGAGACATTCAATCTAATAATCTCAATTATATTGATTATAATATATAATAATCGCTCGAGAATCATTAAAAATCAAATCTAAACCATAGAAATCAAGTTTTAATTGATGAATCAACAACAAAAGTGAATTAGAACATAATTAACAATTGCGAAACCAAAAGTAATATGAAAACGAGTAAATAAATTTAATGGAAGAAGATGAAATAGAAAGCAAAACAAAAAAGTAACAAGAGGAAGAAACAAATATGATCAATAACATGTTCATCCCCACCCTAACATACATTATATTAAAATATTTTTCAATAATTTTGTTTTAAAATTGATACGATTATAAAAAATTATATATATAATGAATTGTTAAAATAATTTATTTTTATAACAATCTTAAACAAATTCTAATGTTTTTAAAAATACTCTAAACAATTAGCAAAATATTAATAAAATGAAGTGGATGTGCCAAAGTGGTTATCTAGTATAACTAGAAATCATGTGGGTTACTGCTGCGAGGTTCGAATCCCGCCACTCAAGTGAAATAAATATTATAAATTTTTTATGCATTTTTTAGTTGTGTTAACAAATATTTCTTTAGCTATTTTATTAACAGATATTCTATTGTTCACAAAGCGTCTAATCCCTCATTTCATCAATTGTTTCACAAATAGAGATTCTAAATAATTTCAGGGAGTGTTAATGTACGAAAAGCGCTCGAGATAGCTTATAAATTTAATCAATGAAAACTATAAATGCAAAGAAGTAAAAATAATGAAATGAATATGATAGTCATAAATTGTGTTAAATCTCCAATCATAAAATTGTTTTATGATCATCATTGATTTCAATGGAATTGTCTTGCGATCAATTACAATCTATTTGAGATTTGTATTCACTCAATTCCTAAATGAATCAATAACTTCAACTTAGAAATTAAATTGTGATGTAAATGAGACATTCAATCTAATAATCTCAATTATATTGATTATAATGTATAATAATCGCTCGGAATCATTAAAAATCAAATCTAAACCATAGAAATCAAGTTTTAATTGATGAATCAACAACAAAAGTGAATTAGAACATAATTAACAATTGCGAAACCAAAAGTATAATATGAAAACTGTAAATAAATTTAATGGAAGAAGATGAAATAGAAAGCAAAACGAAAAAGTAACAAGAGGAAGAAACAAATATGATCAATAACATATTCATCCCCACCCTAACATACATTATATTAAAATATTTTTCAATAATTTTGTTTTAAAATTGATACGATTATAAAAAATTATATATATAATGAATTGTTAAAATAATTTATTTTTATAACAATCTTAATCAAATTCTAATATGTTTTTTAAAATACCCTAAACAATTAGCAAAATATTAATAAAATTAAGTGGATGTGCTCGGAGTGGTTATCGGGCATGACTAGAAATCATATGGGTTCTACCGCGTAGGTTCGAATCCTGCCATTCACGTGAAATAAATATTATATATTTTTGTATGCATTTTTTAGTTGTTTAACAAATATTTCTTTAGCTATTTTATTAACAGATATTCTCTTGTGCACAATGCGTCTAACCCCTCATTTCATTAATTGTTTCACAAATAGATATTCTAATCAGATTGAGGGAGTGTTAATGTACAAAAAGCACCCAGATAGCTTATAAATTTAATCAATGAAAACTGTAAATGCAAAGAAGTAAAAATAAGGAAATGAATATGATAGTCATAAAGTGTGTTCATTCTCCAATCGTAAAATTGTTTTATGATCATCATTGATTTCAATGGAATTGTCCTGCGATCAATTACAATCTATTTGAGAATTGTATTCACTCAATTCCTAAATGAATCAATCACTTCAACTTAGAAGTTAAATTGTGATGTAAATGAGACATTCAATCTAATAATCTCAATTATATTGATTATAATATATAATAATCGCTCAGAATCATTAAAAATCAAATCTAAACCATAGAAATCAAGTTTTAATTGATGAATCAACAACAAAAGTGAATTAGAACATAATTAACAATTGCGAAACCAAAAATAATATGAAAACAGTAAATAAATTTAATGGAAGAAGATGAAATAGAAAGCAAAACGAAAAAGTAACAAGAGGAAGAAACAAATATGATCAATAACATGTTCATTCCCACCCTAACATATATTATATTAAAATATTTTTCAATAATTTTTGTTTTAAAATTGATACGATTATAAAAAATTATATATATAATGAATTGCTAAAATAATTTATTTTTATAACAATCTTAAACAAATTCTAATATGTTTTTTAAAATACCCTAAACAATTAGCAAAATATTAATAAAATTAAGTGGATGTGCCGGAGTGGTTATCGGGAATGACTAGAAATCATGTGGGTTTTGCCCGCGCAGGTTCGAATCCTGCCATTCACGTGAAATAAATATTATATATTTATTATGCATTTTTTGTTGTTTAACAAATATTTCTTTAGCTATTTTATTAACAGATATTCTATCGTGCACAAAGCGTCTAACCCCTCATTTCATTAATTGTTTCACAAATAGAGATTCTAATTAGATTCAGGGAGTGTTAATGTACAAAAATCGCCCAGATAGCTTATAAATTTAATCAATGAAAACTGTAAATGCAAAGAAGTAAAAATAATGAAATGAATATGATAGTTATAAATTGTGTTCATTCTCCAATCATAAAATTGTTTTATGATCATCATTGATTTCAATGGAATTGTCTTGCGATCAATTACAATCTATTTGAGATTTGTATTCACTCAATTCCTAATTGAATCAATCACTTCAACTTAGAAGTTAAATTGTGATGTAAATGAGACATTCAATCTAATAATCTCAATTATATTGATTATAATGTATAATATCGCTCAGAATCATTAAAAATCAAATCTAAACCATAGAAATCAAGTTTTAATTGATGAATCAACAACAAAAGTGAATTAGAAAATAATTAACAATTGCGAAACCAAAAATAATATGAAAACAAGTAAATAAATTTAATGGAAGAAGATGAAATAGAAAGCAAAACGAAAAAGTAACAAGAGGAAGAAACAAATATGATCAATAACATGTTCATTCCCACCCTAACATATATTATATTAAAATATTTTTCAATAATTTTTGTTTTAAAATTGATACGATTATAAAAAATTATATATATAATGAATTGCTAAAATAATTTATTTTTATAACAATTTTAAACAAATTCTAATATGTTTTTTAAAATACCCTAAACAATTAGCAAAATATTAATAAAATTAAGTGGATGTGCCTGGAGTGGTTATCGGGAATGACTAGAAATCATGTGGGTTTTGCCTGCGCAGTTCGAATCCTCGCCATTCACGTGAAATAAATATTATATATTTATTATGCAGTTTTTGTTGTTTAACAAATATTTCTTTAGCTATTTTATTAACAGATATTCTATCGTGCACAAAGCGTCTAACCCCTCATTTCATTAATTGTTTCACAAATAGAGATTCTAATTAGATTCAGGGAGTGTTAATGTACAAAAATCGCCCAGATAGCTTATAAATTTAATCAATGAAAACTGTAAATGCAAAGAAGTAAAAATAATGAAATGAATATGATAGTTATAAATTGTGTTCATTCTCCAATCATAAAATTGTTTTATGATCATCATTGATTTCAATGGAATTGTCTTGCGATCAATTACAATCTATTTGAGATTTGTATTCACTCAATTCCTAAATGAATCAATCACTTCAACTTAGAAGTTAAATTGTGATGTAAATGAGACATTCAATCTAATAATCTCAATTATATTGATTATAATGTATAATATCGCTCAGAATCATTAAAAATCAAATCTAAACCATAGAAATCAAGTTTTAATTGATGAATCAACAACAAAAGTGAATTAGAAAATAATTAACAATTGCGAAACCAAAAATAATATGAAAACAGTAAATAAATTTAATGGAAGAAGATGAAATAGAAAGCAAAACGAAAAAGTAACAAGAGGAAGAAACAAATATGATCAATAACATGTTCATTCCCAACCTAACATATATTATATTAAAATATTTTTCAATAATTTTGTTTTAAAATTGATACGATTATAAAAAATTATATATATAATGAATTGCTAAAATAATTTATTTTTATAACAATCTTAAACAAATTCTAATATGTTTTTTAAAATACCCTAAACAATTAGCAAAATATTAATAAAATTAAGTGGATGTGCCTAGAGTGGTTATCGGGCATGACTAGAAATCATGTGGGTTCTACCTGCGCAGGTTCGAATCCTGCCATTCACGTGAAATAAATATTATATATTTTTTATGCATTTTTTAGTTGTTTAACTAATATTTCTTTAGCTATTTTATTAACAGATATTCTATTGTGCACAAAGCGTCTAACCCCTCATTTCATCAATTGTTTCATAAATAGAGATTCTAATTAGAGTCAGGGAGTGTTAATGTACAAAAAGTGCCCAGATAGCTTATAAATTTAATCAATGAAAACTGTAAATGCAAAGAAGTAAAAATAATGAAATGGATATGATAGTCATAAAGTGTGTTCATTCTCCAATCATAAAATTGTTTTATGATCATCATTGATTTCAATGGAATTGTCTTGCGATCAATTACAATCTATTTGAGATTTGTATTCACTCAATTCCTAAATGAATCAATCACTTCAAATTAGAAGTTAAATTGTGATGTAAATGAGACATTCAATCTAATAATCTCAATTATATTGATTATAATATATAATAATCGCTCAGAATCATTAAAAATCAAATCTAAACCATAGAAATCAAGTTTTAATTGATGAATCAACAACAAAAGTGAATTAGAACATAATTAACAATTGCGAAACCAAAAGTAATATGAAAACAGTAAATAAATTTAATGGAAGAAGATGAAATAGAAAGCAAAACAAAAAAGTAATAAGAGGAAGAAACAAATATGATCAATAACATGTTCATCCCCACCCTAACATACATTATATTAAAATAATTTTCAATAATTTTGTTTTAAAATTGATACGATTATAAAAAAATTTATATATAATGAATTGTTAAAATAATTTATTTTTCCAACAATCTTAAACAAATTCTAATGTTTTTTAAAATACTCTAAACAATTAGCAAAATATTAATAAAATGAAGTGGATGTGTCAAAGTGGTTATCGGGTATAACTAGAAATCATGTGGGTTCTCGCTCGCAGGTTCGAATCCTGCCACTCATGTGAAATAAATATTATAAATTTTTTATGCATTTTTTAGTTGTGTTAACAAATATTTCTTTAGCTATTTTATTAGCAGATATTCTATTGTGCACAAAGCGTCTAACCCCTTATTTCATCAATTGTTTCACAAATAGAGATTCTAAATAAATTCAGGGAGTGTTAATGTACGAAAAGCGCTCAGATAGCTTATAAATTTAATCAATGAAAACTATAAATGCAAAGAAGTAAAAATAATAAAATGAATATGATAGTCATAAATTGTGTTAATTCTCCAATCATAAAATTGTTTTATGATCATCATTGATTTCAATGGAATTGTCTTGCGATCAATTACAATCTATTTGAGATTTGTATACACTCAATTCCTAAATGAATCAATCACTTCAACTTAGAAGTTAAATTGTGATGTAAATGAGACATTCAATCTAACAATCTCAATTATATTGATTATAATGTATAATAATTGCTCAGAATCATTAAAAATCAAATCTAAACCATAGAAATCAAGTTTTAATTGATGAATCAACAACAAAAGTGAATTAGAACATAATTAACAATTGCGAAACCAAAAGTAATATGAAAATTGTAAATAAATTTAATGGAAGAAGATGAAATAGAATGCAAAACGAAAAAGTAATAAGAGGAAGAAACAAATATGATCAATAACATGTTCATCCCCACCCTAACATACATTATATTAAAATATTTTTCAATAATTTTGTTTTAAAATTGATACGATTATAAAAAATTATATATATAATGAATTGTTAAAATAATTTATTTTTATAACAATCTTAAACAAATTCTAATATGTTTTTTAAAATACCCTAAACAATTAGCAAAATATTAATAAAATTAAGTGGATGTGCCGGAGTGGTTATCGGGCATGATTAGAAATCATGTGGGTTTTGCACGCGCAGGTTCGAATCCTGCCATTCACGTGAAATAAAATTTATATATTTATTATGCATTTTTTAGTTGTTTAACAAATATTTCTTTAGCTATTTTATTAATAGATATTCTATTGTGCACAAAGCGTCTAACCCCTCATTTCATCAATTGTTTCACAAATAGAGATTCTAATTAGATTCAGGGAGTGTTAATGTACAAAAAGCGCCCAGATAGCTTATAAATTTTATCAATGAAAACTGTAAATGCAAAGAAGTAAAAATAATGAAATAAATATGATAGTCATAAATTGTGTTAATTCTCCAATCATAAAATTGTTTTATGATCATCATTGATTTCAATGGAATTGTCTTGCGATCAATTACAATCTATTTGAGATTTGTATTCACTCAATTCGTAAATGAATCAATCACTTCAACTTAGAAGTTAAATTGTGATGTAAATGAGACATTCAATCTAATAATCTCAATTATATTGATTATAATGTATAATAATCGCTCAGAATCATTAAAAATCAAATCTAAACCATAGAAATCAAGTTTTAATTGATGAATCAACAACAAAAGTGAATTAGAACATAATTAACAATTGCGAAACCAATAGTAATATGAAAATAGTAAATAAATTTAATGGAAGAAGATGAAATAAAAAGCAAAACGAAAAAGTAATAAGAGGAAGAAACAAATATGATCAATAACATGTTCATCCCCACCCTAACATACATTATATTAAAATATTTTTCAATAATTTTGTTTTAAAATTGATACGATTATAAAAAATTATATATATAATGAATTGTTAAAATAATTTATTTTTATAACAATCTTAAACAAATTCTAATATGTTTTTTAAAAAACCCTAAACAATTAGCAAAATATTAATAAAATTAAGTGGATGTGCCGGAGTGGTTATCGGGCATGACTAGAAATCATGTGGGTTTTGCCCGCGCAGGTTCGAATCCTGCCAATCACGTGAAATAAATATTATATATTTTTTATGCATTTTTTAGTTGTTTAACAAATATTTCTTTAGCTATTTTATTAACAGATATTCTATTGTGCACAAAGCATCTAGCCCCTCATTTCATTAATTGTTTCACAAATAGAGATTCTAAGTAGATTCAGGGAGTGTTAATGTACAAAAAGCGCCCAGATAGCTTATAAATTTAATCAATGAAAACGGTAAATGCAAAGAAGTAAAAATAACGAAATGAATATAATAGTCATAAATTGTGTTAATTCTCCAATCATAAAATTGTTTTATGATTGTCGCAG